TTTTCAGTGATCAGTCGACGGAAACACAACAAAGAGCAAAATGAAGATTCCAGGCACTTTCTTCAGTCGACTCATCGGTCGAATGACTTCATCAGTCGACTGATAACAGGTTATCAGCCTGACTTGGTTTTGAGAGTGAGTTTTAATGCTCTGTAAAAAATAGTAAATAAATTCTAAAAAATATAAAACTTTGGGAATAGTTTATAAACATTTTAACAAACTTGTTTGAAAAAAAATTTGCAAAAAAGTCCTCGTATTTATGAAAATCATTATTTTAACAAAAGTACCAAAATATGAGTTTTGAAAGTGTGCAAGTGTTTGTGATATCCCAAATAGCTTCAAATAAAATCTACAACTACTTGCCTACATTTAAGTACTAGAGAGAAAATAAAATAGTAAATATCTCTCACATAGAAATACATTTCTTAAGTCTTGATATTGCTTTAGAGTTGATGAAGCTTCTCATTGCGTTAAGTGTTCTTGATAAACATTACTTCATCACTTTGCCTCCACCTCCTTTAGATATTGACGTTGTAGCTCATATTCCATTCAATCCTCCATAAATGGTACTAACTAGCTTTGTATTTATATTATCTACAATATCACTCAATAAGCAATTAGTACCGATAATGGTGGTTGTAAATCATCATAAAACATAAGGACTAACATGCCTTCGCATTGTATTTATTTCTTGACGCTTAGCGTATGAGGTTGAGGCGAAATGTTTATTTTATTTATTGTTCTTAATCTAATACGTCGCTGGCTTGTTCACGTTCCGATTCCCGGGAATTTTGGGAAGCGGGACGTGACATTTCTTTGCCAAGTTTTAAAATTTTAGCCCTTTTTATGGTTTTGAACTTTGAGGGTGTGATTTTTAATTTTTAAATCTTTGGGAGCATTTTTAAAAAAAATACTTTTAAGTTTGGTAGTTGTAACTTTTATGTTTCATGTGTAGATGGTAATTTTTAAATATCACGATATTTCTTACAACTCTGAAATTTTAAGGCTGCTTTTTGCAATTGTCAAAATTGTAGATTAATTTTTAAAAATTTTAAATTTCAACATTCTGCCAATAGTTTCCAGATTTGATGTGTGCTTGTTATAAATTTTAAATTTTGAAGTTTTTTTAATTTTTAAATTTTGAAAGAGTTTTTTCTACAACTTTTATAACTTTGAGGTTAATTTCGGCATATTTTAAATTTTTAGGTACATGAGGGTAATCTCTTGAATTTATCTTTTGTTGTTTACAAATTTTAAAAAATTTGGAATTTTAGGATTGTTTTTTATAATTTAGACTTTTGAGGGTGTTTCCATAATTTTTGGGACATTGAGGGTGTTAATTAAAATTTTAAATTTTTCAGATACTGCTATTAATATCTTGATTTCATGTTTGTTGTTTTAAATTTTAAAATATCAAAAATTTTCAGGTGTATTATGGTAATCCCTTAAATTCATCTATGTTGTTTGCAAGTTTTAAAATTTTAGAATTTCATGTGCTTGTTTGTAATTTAAACTTTTGAGTGTGTTTCTAAAATTTTTGAGATATTGTGATGTTCACCACAAATTTTAAATTTTTCACAAACTGCTGTTAATTTCTTGATTTCATGTTTGTTGTTTTAAGTTTTTAGACGTCGAGGTTTTTATAATTTTGAATTTTTTAGGATATTTTGTGCAACTTTAAAACTTTTTAGGTTTTTTTGCAATACTTTATGTATTATAGTACGTCAGCTACGTATAATTTCTTTATCTTAACATGCTAATACTATAAAGATGTTTTATATATTTTATTAATATTATTTTTTTAAAAGTGTTAAGCTCTAGATGGTTCACGTAGGATTAGGATAGGATACAATTATGATTAGGATAGATTAAGATATAAATAAAATATGTAAAATAGTAAAGAGTAATATTGAACATAGAAAGATTTTTCAGAACTCGTGCTTTTAAAGGAGTATGATATGATCAAGTTTAAAACAGACAAATAATAAGATAAAATAAACACCAAATAGTATAACCACGAATGGCAATTGACCAAAAAATGATTAGATTTTTAAAACTAAACTGCAATCTTGCAACCGAAGAAAAACTATAGGTAGGTTGACTTTTCGTAAGCCGCTTCCTTCACCGGAAGAATGGCTTACGGGTCGTCTATCATCACTATGAACAGTTGATCGCACATTAAATCATCAGTACCATGCCAAAATGAAAAAAGGAGATTTTCATATCAAACCAGTAAAAGTCCACAAGTGAAGGGGGCCCACCCACCACACTCCCCTTCTCTTGCTCCATGGCTGAAACAGAGCCTCCTCTTCCGACTTCGAAGGAGTTGTTCGGGTTTCGGCATGAGGGATAGCACATCAGTTTCCTATCCTAGGGCGGGTTGCTGGTTTGATCATTGAATGCAGAGAGTTCCTAGACTACTGTATACATGGTTATATGCACTGTCTTCACCAACAGAAGGCGATGGAATCCCTGTAGCTGCATAGCTACAGCCCGATGGAATCCCTAGGGTATCTGGCTTGCCGGCCTGCCCTCAGTCTGTATGGTGGGAAAGAACTAGCTGCTCTTGTAGGAGTTGGCTTGCCATATCACTTCCAAGCTCTCTTATTTCCTGCCTTCATACCTCCTGGAATGTCATGTGTTCAGCTACCGATATTCCTTCCTTGGGTCTTCCTGCCCTGCTCCTTGTGGGAATTACATCCATTTGTTAGCAACATAGTAGGAAATTTTGTTAAATATCTAGGAAATGAAAATATGTTTGAAACAACCAAATAATAAGATACAACTTCCACCAAAATTTACTATAAAATGAATAGTGCTCTTATGGTTCAAAGTTTACCGTAGCATAAATAGTTTTTGAACTCAAAAAATTATTGTAGCACAGACAATGTATTGGATAGGGGTGGGCATGGGTTGGTTAGAAGCACGGGCTAAACCGGCCTAGCCCGCATTAGGTCAAGACCCGACTCAACCCATAGTGGGTCGGGCCCAATCCTGCTCGTGAGTATGTTGGGCTAGATTCCGCTCTAAACCCATGGAGCGAGAAGTAGGCACATGAGCTAAACTGGCCTAACCCACCTTGGGTCAAGATCCAGCTCAACCCAC